AGGTGCAAACTAAATTTCTTCATGTGGAAAACACAAAATGATATGAAGAAACACTCAGAGCAAATCAGACATGGCAGCTGCCCAACAGATCGTGGCAAGGGGTCAGTGTTGAGCCACACTTGCACACACCTGGAGATGCCAGGCAGCCTGGTCCCCAGCAGAGGCTTTGCAGCCACGGGGAAATGAGGGACACAGGCCCAAGGTTTGTGGGGCATCTTTACTGTGGTTGTTGACAGAGACCCACTGTACCCCCACTTACGTGTTCTCCTGTGAGACTTCTGCTCCCTAAGTGATTAAGGTTTAAAACAGGTCCTAGTAACTTGCTGACTTGGAGCTGTGAAACAGTGGCCATCCACAGATCACGCATACCTGGTTTTGCCTGCAAATGCCACCTATTTAGCGTGCAGGTCATGGTTTCGGTGAATACCACTAGTGGTACAGACAAACCTTGCCAGGAAGAGCCAGAGCAGTTAAGGACAAAGGGCTGGTACTGTTCAGCAGTGTTATCTGAGAGCTTCGACAGCCACCTGTGTCCTTGTGTCCAGCCCACCCTGCCCTGAGGTGGCTGGAAAGCATTCCTTGTGAGTGTTGGTGCGGACAGTGGTCCCCTTTCCTACGCCTGTGTGCAGACTACATTGAAAGGCTTTTTAAATTCAGTTCTTTCTAAAGAAAATGCCTCCAACTCAGTGGCTGGATAAAGATGCTGGGCTTTTGCCTCTAATGGTCTTAGAGTGTAAACCTGTAACTTATCTTGCAGTATATTCTCTACATCCCTTCACCTACACACCCAGAGCATGACCAAACATCTTCCCCATCTATTTCAGAAAAGATCAAGACAGAAAAGCAACTGGTAATATATCTGACTGTATTTCAAAGTTGTTGATTGTAAACAAACTTTGTCGAAGAAATAAAATCACATGACAAGATATCAGAGTGATACTATAAATCCATTTTGTTATTGTTGCCACACTTCACATTTTTGGAACTCAGAATTTAGCTCATGGTGTACAAAACTTGTAAAAATTTATTGCAAGCGTGCCTTTGTGTAGAACAAAACCGGTGTCACAAAAGTAGTTCCCTGTCCCGTGCAGAAATACAGTTGTGTATCTCTTACTGGAAAGAGGTCACACACCTGCATTTCCTGAAAGACTTGGCTGTTATAAAATTGCTCTGAGAAGGTTTTAAAAAAGAAAAAAAAAAAAAAAGCAATTTGCAGTGTATGGTTTACCTCTGGAATTTTTGCTTTCAACAGGAATCTTTAGAATTATAAAGAATATGGAACTTTGCAACAGAACTGCAGTTGCTGATGGTGTGAGCACAGCCCAGTAGTCTTGAAAGCCCTTGGCCAGCTAAGGCCCATCCTCACATTTGGTACTGTCACTGCATTTGATGGAATGTAAGTTGCACACATTGAAAATAAATGAAAACAAAACATTGAGGGAGAGATTCCTTTTCCAGAATCCCCATTGTTCCTGTTTCTACTGTGGTGCTTCCACAGTCTGTTACTTCCATGCTGTGCTGACATGCAGCAGTGCTGTGACTCCAAGGTTGATGACTACTGATCATGTATAGTATAAGGAAAGGCATAAAGTGAGGCCAGGGATGTAGCTAAAGCAGGGTTTATGTTGCTCAAGGAGCTGTGCAGGACTGTATGTGTTAAACATCAGCCTTTTCTTTTTAATTCAAAGGTAGCAGGGGAGTGGGGCACACATGCTGGAATGATGAGAGTTGAAGGGATCACCTGGGTCCTCTCCCTCCACATACCCAGCCTCTGAAGTTTCCTCTGCCTCCTCAAACCCACTGTTCCTCTTGAATACCTCCTTGTGTCAGACCATGCTGATTAACCTCACAGGATCAGATTAATCTCTGGATTAAACCTGAGTTTTGTTATCTTTAATCTCACCCCCAGACCATGGGGTCAAGCTATTTTTTTATTTCGGTACTGAAATGCCAGGCAAAGATTTGGCTTATAACTAGAAGAAAAATCCAGGTTGGAAAAGAAAGTCCAAGACACCTGCAAACTGCTTTCCATCAAATGAGTAACTCCATTTCATAGAGACATGCAAATTGTTCAGCAGTCATGTTTTGCATATACCTTGACACAGATTGAGAACAAGACCATAAAGTTACTTTGACACCAGCGGGTTTAGGTTCTGGATGGTGCGTTGCTTTTCACTTTCTAGGCTTTTATGGGGAACTACTGGAAATAGGTCAAAATACTCTGAAGTCCAGAGCACGCTGTAAATACTTAAAGTGTGAAAATATTTGCCAGATTCTTTATTTTTGAAACAGAGTTGCCAGGGCTGGGAGCAAACTGCATAGGCCTGGCATCTTCCCTGCCTTAGAAAAACATCTGAGATTATCTTGACTATGAAGTCTGTTTGTCCAAGGAGCTTGGATCCTAAATTACACTTATCCCTTCCCCCATTTCTGTATCTGGTAAGGTTGTACACACTGTGGTCCTACAGCACAGCATGATGGTCCTCTCCCACTAGGTTCTTCATCCAGGTCACCCAGGCATTCAAGGGTTGTTCAGTTACAGCAAATGATGTTTTCATGGGAAAGATTTTTGCACCACTGATCACGTGGACCACCTTGACATCTCATACAAGCAATTATTACTTCAGCAAAGTGATACAAAAGGGGTTTACCACTTAAGGCCTTTTCGTGATACCTAAAAGCTGTTCACCAGACCCATCAGAGTGGAAGGGTTTAAAAACAAAACAAAACACAAAAAGACTCCCCAGACCCTGTCAAAGCCCCTCTCTGACAGTGATCCAGAGCTGAGGAATGTTACAGCCATTACAGTTGGAGCAGTGGGTGTGGTGGTGCTGATGCCTGTTTTGTGTCCACAGGAACCTGACAGGGCAGCACTAATGGGGCAAAGCAGGCAACACCCTCACAGTGATTGCAATCAGTACAGGCTTCAGAAACAATACCCTGTTTCATCTGAGATTTGCAAAATAGCAAAAAGGACCAGCAAAGCAATCCTATAAATGTAAACTGAAGGGCCAACTCTGTGTTATCAACTCTTCCAGACTGACCAAGAACCTGCAGGATGACTTGGATGTGCTTTAAATGCATGGAATGAGAGAAGCAAAGGAAAGCATAGGGCAGGAAACTTCTCCAAGGCTACATTTCTGAAGAGACAGAGCTTTTGCTCAAAAGAAGAGGAAGATACCCTTTTTGAACAAAGCACAGCTTTTCCTAACTGTTTTCAGCAGTGATATGATGATGATACAGGGGTGCTTCCAGTTCATAATGCTTCTGGAAACAAAGGTAGCTTAGGGAAGAATTGTTACAAGAATTAATATATATCAAGTAGCACTGGTGCCAGGCTTGCATTTGAGCAGATGATGTGATCTGTAGGTGCAAATATCCTAGTTAATAGCAGGCCAAATATATACCTGTTTTGAACTTAAGAGTTCCTTGCCTCTGTGAAACAACAGCCCTTCAACACTTGAATGTTTTTCTCAACCAGATTTAGATGAGTTCGTTTTACAACCAATCTTACACCAGTCCTACCAAGAAGAAAGTGCCATGGCAAACTCCACAACAGAGATGGATGGAAGACTTCATATTCCATCTAAGCCTCACTGACTTTTCTCAACTCAGTAATTCTTTGTCTGAATTTCACACTCATTACTGGACTATCGTAGAGCTTCAGATTTTCCATTTATCTCCTTGAAGTTCCCCTGAACTGTTTGCGCTCCTATGTTTATCACATTTTTTCTTACCTTCGGTGCAACTTGGTTTTGACTCATGCTGGCCTGTATGAAGGAACCTGTGCTAAGTCCCACAGCCCTTACTTCAGCGGGAGAATGATATTTGGCATGCTTTCATTTCTAGTTTGGAAAAGTGCATTTCAACAAGAACCAAGTCGCTGAAAACATAGAACATGGCCTTAATCACAGAAGTGCAAACTCCACTTTACAGTTTCATTACCCCTTTATCTGTGCTGTGCCTTGATGTCTGATTAAGAAAGGGGAAGCTCCTGTTTGAGAAGCTAATGATGTCTCATGAGTGCTGAGGTTGTTACAGCACTTTGCAATCCTTGCTTGGAAACTACCACAGATGCGCAGAACTACCAGTGCAGCATAATCCCTAAAATCAGCTCTAGGACTAGGGGACTAAGGCATGTAAGAATAAGATATTGGAGGCTTCTTTCACACTCACCAGTTCAAGACAGACTCCTAAATAAATGTTAGAAGGAAAGTAAAAAGTACCCTCTCTAGACCAAAAAAAAAAAAAAGGCCACGGTAATATAGCTGGAGGTAAAGAATGGGAATGCTGTGTTTGAGTTGCTGTCCTTAATGTCAGTCTGGAAACAGGTAAATTCATTTTTCTCTAGGAATTACCTGAAGAAAACAAAGTTGTACTTCTATAAATTAGGATTCTTGTACTACTTGTAAATGTACAAGGGTTGAGGATAGAGAATAGAAATGGAAAATGGAGATGAGATTTCTTTATACTGTGCCCTAGTGTCAAGTGCACAGACCGGCTGAAGTAAAAAGTGGCAGAGTTTCTGCAAGCCCTTGAAGCATTTTTCAACTGAGACAACAGTGGAAACCACTTCACAGTGGCTTCCAAGCTCTAGTGAGCGTTATATCACACACTGGGAAAAGAAATGTTTTCCAAGAATGGATCATGGCATGACAGACATTTCTTGAAAGTACTGTGCATAGAAGGTGATCAGTATGTCTTACCGATGCTCTCAGTTCTTTGAAACAAAGTTTGCATACCATAAATAAGTCCTTATCAGTTTTCAGAAGTACACGTGAATGAAAATTCAATTCAGCAGGAGAGAAACGAGCCATGCTGTGCTCCCTTGGCTTCTTCAGCATCAAAGTTTGTTGTTGTGGTGGTTTTTTTTGTTTTGGTTTGGTTTTTTGTTGTTGTTTGTTTGTTTGTTTGTTTGTTGTTGTTGTCATTGGGTTTTTGGGGTTTTTTTTGAGAAAGTTTAGAGACATTCCTCTGTGACCCG